ATCGCTATTCCCATGGCAAATGTTCAGACAAGCTCCATTCTTTAGTGTCACTAGTTCAAGACCTTTACAACCAAGACACGTTTTGCTACCTTCAGAAGTTTGAAACTTGCGGAAAAGACGTCTGTATTGAGCTTCCCTAAATAATATACTTACGGCCACATCACGATTTGTCTCCCCAGGATCAGATTCACTCCAAAGTTTGCCAAAAAAGAGAAAGAATGGTCATAAATAAAAAAAAAATCTCATGAATTTTCATTAAGGAATGTTGGCTTAATGCCACATCACATTAAAACACCGGTTCCTGTACAATTACTGAGGTTAAGCAACGTTGCACCTGATCAATACCTAGATGGGTGACCGCTTTGAAATACCAGGTGTTGTAAGCTTGGATATAAAGGTGGTGTAATGGATAATGGCTCTTGCTTTTTTTTTTTCAATTCCTTTCCTTTCTTTAATATTTTTTTTCTTTTTCTTGCTTCCTCTTTTTCTTTCTTTTTTCTTTTTCTCTTTCTTTCGTTCCTTTCTTTCTTTCTTTTCTTTCTTTTTCTTTTTTTTTCCTTTCATTTCTTTTATTTTTCTTTCCCTTTGTATTTTTTCTTTTTTCTTATTTCTAATTCTTTTTTTTCTTTCTTTTTCTTTTTTTCTTTTCCTTTCATTTCTTTCTTTTTTCTTTCCCATTGTATTTTTCTCTTTCTTTCTTATTTCTCATTCTTTTTCTTTCTTTCTTTTTTTTTTCTTTTCCTTTCATTTCTTTCTTTTTTCTTTCCCTTTGTATTTTTTCTCTTTCTTTCTTATTTCTCATTCTTTTTCTTTCTTTCTTTCTTTCTTTCTTTCTTTCTTTCTTTCTTTCCACTCGTTCGAATGATTTTCTTTCCATTTTTACATTTCATATCTTATTCTTTCACTCGTGTCTTATTTATTGATTTATTTTTTTATGTTAATTAAAATCGACATTCATATTACTAGATATGTTAAATCGATATTCATTCATTCACATTTCAGACTTGAATTCAATATCGTTTATTTAGCCTCATGGAAGATGACTCATTTCTTCACTACAGCCCATTTCCCCACAGACCGAACATCACAAGCCTATCGCTACTTCAATGCCAAATGTCCACACAAGATCCATTCTTTAGTGCCACCAGTTCAGACTTTTACAGCTAAAACCCGACTTACTACGTCCACAATGTTGAACCCCCAATGTTCATTTGTAAGAAGGACGTTTCATTTCGAAAGTTTCTTCCTCAAAACAGCCACTCTGTGGAAAAGACTCCTTTGTGGATACTTTCCCGAACACTCGAACCTTTTCAAGTCTAGGGTCAGTCGCAATCTATCTGACATATCCTCGTCATATTAACTTCTTATTTTCTCTTCTTAGGATGATATCACGCACCGCATTCAGTAGCCCTCAATCTTGAGTGGCTTTTGGGCCTTGTATTCGGTGAGAATTTGTAAAAAAATATAGTAAAAAGATCGCATTTATTGCCAATGTCCTGGAAAATTGATGTACTGTTGTTATATTTGGGCGCAGACCTCATCTCCAGCCTTGAGTCCAAAAGCGTCTCCGAGCCCTTGTTGGTGACGAATTATTCTCCACCCTTCAAACTCTCTAGCACAGGCGGGATATGGCAAGCTTCTCGTCGCTCTGTTGCTACTTCCATGGAAAGTGTTCGTACAAACTACATACCCCTGGTCCCGCTAAGTCAAACCTTCACGGCAAGAATGTACTATGCCCCTTACATCGTAGCAAACCACCCACATTATCTTCGTATTCCATCGGTGAGAGGTAAGTTCCATTTGAACATCTTCTTCCTGTGAACTGCTGCTCTCTGGAACCGACTCCCAAGAGGATGTTTCCCCGATCACTACAATCTGAACCTGTTCAAGGCTAGGGTTAACATACAAATGGTCCCTGGCCTTGTAAAGGGTGAATATATAAAGAGTAAAATAAAAGAAGCCATGACATTAGAAAAACCTCCCTTCTCTTATTTTCTGTGCTCTACATTTTTCTAAATATTATGACTAAGTCTCATTCATTTCTTGTAACTCTTTTTTTTAATTATTTGTCCGGGGAAAAATACAAAATAAAAAAAATTCTCTAGTCTCCATTTTTTGTGTGTGTGTGTGTTTCTTTATTTTTCAAATGGAAAAACTGAAATTTAAAACAAAAACAAAAAAAAAAAAAAAAATCATGGCCGGCCAGACAAAATCACAATTGATCTTTTTCAGATTTGCTTCCATATAAACGATCAAGTGGGATTTGATTAGAATCTTTCAAAGAATTAAGGGACGAATAATTGAACGAAGAAATGGCTGCACAGAAGATGGGAGAAGCGAGGGAGAAAAAAGATGATAGAGAAAGAGAACGAAAGGAAGAGAAAATGGAAAGAAACAAATAATTAGAGATGCAGAAATAAAACATAAATGCGAAAATAAGTAATGTATGCAATTAGATGTCTAGTGTAGAACAATGGGGAGACATCATATAAGGTCTTAG